TGACTTCCTGAGAACCACAGAGAGCCTGGCACTTTGACAACAATTGCAGTCATTGGAGTGGAGCTGCAGAAGTTCTAGGGTGAATATGGGACAAAACTAGCGCCTATTGAATTGGACCAGGTTAGTGACTAGCAGTGCCATCTGCTGGCACTTTCTTCAGCCAATTTATTTTAATTTGGCCTCAGACTCAGATTTTCCCTTAGATTCCTGTAACTACTTCTCCTAGGACCTCTGTAGGATCAGACTCAACCACACTACTACTGTTTACCTGGATCTCCAATCCCTGGCTTCTTCCTGACCACTAAGTACCTTACAGTTTCCTTGGCCTTTGCTATAATTTCTTGTTTACCATACCCAAGTGAATCCTTCTCTTCATCTGAATACTACACTAATGAAATAAGCAAAACCCCCAATTATGGCAATATGGCTAAAATATAAGACCATAAGAGAAAGTTGGTAGGAGGAAAAAAAATCTGGTTTTTGAAGATTAGCTCACAGGAATTTATTAGAGAGGCCATGTGTGGCATAGTGAAACGAATGCTTTTCTTAGAGTCATGAAGAACTGGGTTCAAATTCCACTTAGTCAGGGAGTTCACCTTATCAGTGGAATTTCACACCAAGTTTAGAAAACGTCATCAATAGGAAAACAGATGACCACATTAATATGTCAATAAGGACCCAGGAATAATGCCTGGGCACACCCTTTTCTCAGCAACACACAGATACACACATGCTTGTTCACATGTTTAGATGAACAAAGCCTGGTTCCCTTACTTAGTACTCTTGTGAACTTCTCTGGACCTCAGTTTCATTGTCTATAAAATAAAGAAGTTGAATTATATGGTCTCTAATTTCCCATTTAACTCTTTATTTTACAAGTGGAAAATCTCAGAGTTGCCAGTAACATGAAAAAAAAATTGAACTCAGAATTTTTAGCAGATGCTGGGTATGATAAGTTGTTTTCTGTTAATCCTTTCAGTGACTTCTTTAATACGAAAACATTCTAGTGAGTGATGCTGGAAAAGGCAGCATATTGGCTACGTCATTTTATTGAAACTTCAAAAATTAACCCTTCTGTTCTGTGTGGTCTTTCTCAGATAGCTTGAATGATGGCCTGAGTAAGCTCACTCTCTATTTTGTCTTTGAAATTTTGAGGTAGAATGATTTTCATTTTCTTTATAGAGTGATCTATACTGTTATTGTTGCCTTTGAGATTTTTCCCATCTTCAGGTGTCCTCATTATCTCTGATGTTTCTGCATTTCTAGACGAAGGCTGCTTAAACTTTTTCTGCTCGTGACCCCTTTTTGCTCGAGAAATTTTTATGTTGACCCCCAGGCATATAGGTATATTAAATAGGTATACAAATCAAACATTTACTGATAATAAATGATAAAGAAATTTATTTTAAAACAATTCTTTGGCATACAAATAATTTTACCATTCATTAAAGATAAAGTAAATTTGCATACTAATGAGATGGATGTGCTTGTTTATTTTTACATAAGGAATTAAATCTTGGCAGAATATTTGATACTGCAGGACATAGAACATCTTCAAAGTTTTTCCAGAGTTGTTCAATATTTTGATTTTATAATAGTCAATGCTGAGAATACTGCTTTCCATAAATACGTATTACAAAATGGCAAAAGTATATTTAGGGCCATTTCAGAAACTATTAGAAATTCTGTCCTAATGCCAAGCCAAAATTCATTAAACGATTTTTTAGGTAGCTCAGGTTTTAAACCTGTGTTGCTTGATAACTCAACAAATTCCTCTTGAACTTTTAATGGCAGAAGACTGACATTTTTTATTTCAATTGAGTATGGTTTATGAACCCAACTAGAATAAAAATTTGAAGGGAAGTATTTCTGAACTGTGTTTCCAGGCACTTCAGATGATCAGCTATAACTCTTACAATTAAATCTTTGGGAAGGTTATTTTCAATTAGGAAATCATCTGTAGCTGTAAACATTTCTAAAGAACAATTTTCCACCCTACCCTTCCATATGTTAACTTTTTTAGTAAAACTTTCAATTTTATCTTTTAACATAAATATGTTACAATTTTTTGCTTGAAGGGACATGTTTAAATCATTGAGTTTTCCTAAAATATCTGACAAATTAACATCATTTTGAAAGCCATAAGTTATTATGAAAAAAATGAACAGAATCAGATTTCTGCTCAGTTAAAAAATATAACTTCATCTTTCAATTTCAATAATCTGTTTAAACTTCACCCTCTTGAGAGCCACTGTACCTTTGCATGTAGTAATAAGCTTTTGCAATAGGAGTTCATGTCTTTCAAAAGGTTTGAAAACAAATGACTGTTAAGGGCATATCTTTTAATGAAGTTAATGATTTTGATAGTATCATGAAACATATCTAGCTCTGGTGGTATTTTTTTAGTTACAAGTGCCTCCTGATGGATCATGCAATGAGTAAAAGTGATATGTTCACTGCCACCAGCTTTAACTTCTGCTACAAATCCAACATTCTCACCCATCATTGCTCCAGCACCATCTGCACAGACTCCAATGCAATTTTTCCACTGTAAACCTTTATTTGCTAAAAATTCTTCAACTTTAAGATGTATATCTTCCCCTTTTGTATGCCCTTCCAAAGGGTGACAAAACAGTACTTTCTCAAGTATGCTTCCTTCATAAACAACCTTACATAAAGTGACAACTATGCCGCATTAGAAATACCAGTTGTTTCATCTAACTGAATTGCAAACTTTGAGCTGCCCTTAAGCCTGGCAATAAGCTGCTGGAATTGGTCATTACTAATTTAAAAACTCTTCTGGAAATAGTGTGACTCGACAAAGGAATTTTATGAATGTCATTTTCACACTTTTTCCCATGAACTATTTCTGACATTTTAATAGCAGCAGGTAACATGAACTCTTCTATCATGTAGGGCTTTTTAGTTTTTGCAATTAAATAAGAAATTTCATAAGATGCAAGTATATACTTTTTATTGACAGTAAGAAATTTCTCAAAACATTGATGATTTTAAAAGTCATTCAAAATATTCCTTTGGTTTATTGCAGAACACTGCATGCTTGGTATTAAGATGTCATTTCAGTTGGGCTGGTTTCATGCTCTCTACAGCCAAAACTTCATTACAAAGTGGTTTTTCCACACCACTATCACTATTAGAAGTAAATTCATATTGCAAAAATGATTCGATATATTTTCTTTTTCTTGTCAATTTAGGTGTAATACAACCTGGTAGCAGAGTGTCTGCCGCATTGTTATCAGTATTTTTGCCTCTTCTGTCTAAATTTAGCCACTTATCCATAACTAAAAAATATTTTTGTCCTAAAATGTGAATAAATATTGCTAATAGTTTCTCAAGTAAATATTAGCTTTAGTGCATGGAATTACATTTGTGCTTAATTTAAAAAACTGATGTTCACCCATACACATACAGTGATGATGGAGGAGAAATGTTATTAAAGGGTTTTTGTCTTTACTTCCTGCAATTAAACACTTATGTTTCTGTAAAATAAGGATATAATAGCAGTTTTAAAAATCAAACATTCTAACACAGTATTATCAAAAGATATACTAATTTGATACTAATTTCAGGAATGACAGTAGGAAAATATTAAAAGTCTTTATTTTCTATAATTAAACTATTATGTTTCTGTAGGAGCAGAAAACTTTATATGTGTAGTAAAAACACTGCAATTCATAACATACAATAGTCTTAACTCTGACACAAGGCGGTTTCTGGCAGCATTAGTTGGTGTTGTGTGGTATGATGGAATGCCCAGTGCAAAGTGTACGTGTTGTGTGTTCAAAACCAATGCTGCAGTGAAATTGTGCAACAGGCAAGCGCTGCCAGAAATACCTCGGATTCATTACTTGTTTCCTTTTGAATTAATTTTTGGTCCGTGCGTGTTCAGAAACCTTTTACTACTGACAAATTTTTTGTGACACCCCTCCCCCATTCAGTTACATAACCCCATATGAGGTTGCAGCCCACAGTTTAAGAAGAGCTGTTAAAATCTAGACTGTTCTTTGGTCATTCTTCAGCTGTCTATGTCTTTAATATACATTGACAAATATTCTCATTGCTTTGATATGATTAAGTCAGATTTAATCTCAATATCACAATTACCATAACATTTGTAATTGAATCATCTGCAACATATATTTTAAATAAATAAATAAAAATAGCTGGAAGATGGAGTGCTGTATACAAGGAATAGTAGAGAGGATAGAGTCACTGGATTATAAAGTATGTGGAGGTAATGAAGGTAATGAGGTAATGAAGGAGGTATGAACAACTGGAAAGGTTGGAGAGTGCCAGGTTAGGAAGGGCTTTAAAAGTCAAACAGGATTTTATATTTGATTCTGGAGATAAAAAGGAGTCACTGAGGTTGACTGAGCAGGGGAGGTAACAAGGTCAGATAGGTGCTTCAGAGAGGAAGATCAGTGACTGGAGTAAGAAAAGATGTGAGGCAGAAGGCTATGAGGGTCTCCATCCCAAGGTGACTGGCAGTATCTGAGGAGAGGAAGGAGTATGTAGGAGATATTTTAAAGGGAGAACCCCCAGAATTTGGCAAAAGATTGGATATGCGGTGTGAGAGACAGTGAGGAGTGGAAGGTGACTCTTTGGTTGAGCTTGGGTGATTGAGAGGATTTCATCTAACAGTTAAGTTAGGAGGAGGAGGGAAGGAGAGGAGGGAGAGGAAGAGGAGAAAGAAAGAAGGGGAGAGGGAGAAAGAGGGGAGAAGGAAGAGCAACAGAAAGAGAAGGTGGGGTTGGGACCAGAGGAGGTGGAGGAGGGAGGGGAGAAGACGAAAGACGAATGGGGGAGGGGAAAGGAGGAAAAGTGAGTGCGCGCTCTGCGCCCCTCCTGCCAGCAGAGGGCGGCCGTCGCCCTGCAGCGCCGCGCCAGAGGAGGAAGGCGACGCTCCTTCCCCTAATCTTCCTGCCTTCCTCTAGTTCTCCTTTCGTCTTCCCCGCCAGGCTGGGGGCGGGGACGCGCCGTGCGTGCTGCGGGGGCGGAGCGGGGGCGGCGGTGGCGGCGGTGGCTGCACGGACGACCTAGGAGCTGCTGGTGCCCGGTAACGGAGGCCGCCGCAACCACCCGAGCCCGGCCCGCACCCCCTCCGGGACCATGGAGATCGGCACTGAGATCAGCCGCAAGATCCGGGTGAGGCCCGAGCCGGCGTCGGTCTGTCAGTCAGCCCGGCCCAGGGTGGGGGGTGGGGGCTGAGGGAGCGTTGGCGGGAGCAGCGGGCGATGGGCTGGGGTCTGGGGGGAGGGGGCGAGGCCGTGTCTAGGCGTGGGGCCCGGGCGGAGGCCGAGGCCGAGGCCGAGGCTCAGCGGGACGCCCGGCTTGTCGGGGGTGACGAGGGCTTTGGCCGGGGCGGCGTCGAGGACCCTCTCGCGGCTTGGGGCGGGCTCCCTGGCGGCCGCTCCCCCTCCCCCGACGCCTGCGGGTCGGCCTGGTCGCCTCAGGCTCCTCTGCTGGTTTGCCTTTGAAGTGTGCGAGCTGCTCGGGGGCTGCAAGCAGCGCGTTTTTTGTGTTTTGGTTTGGTTTGTTTTTCTCGTAGACCCCTAATAAAGTCGCCTCCAGGGGTTGTGGCGGCGTCCTCCCACCTATGGCAGAGCTTTTAATGAGCCACCTAATTAGAGACCCGAGGCTTTTCTTGAAATCCACTGTTATATTGCTGTTACTCACTGAAAATTGCCTTGGGGGGGAGGGCGGGTTAAGGGGCGCTGTCTTTACAATCCTGACCAAACGTGGTCATCTCTGATCTGCTAACAAGAACAAAAAATTCATCAAATTGAATTAGAAACCTGACCAAACGTGGTCGTCTCTGATCTGCTAACAAGAACAAAAAATTCGTCAAGTCAAATTTTGGAATATGTATAGTCTTTGAAAAGAATGTGGCCCATGTCAGCAAAAATCCCCCCCCCCCCAAAGTAGATGAATTTTCTGGTTTTTTTTGATGAATTTTCAATATAGATATTTACTTTGCTTTATTACACTGGCTCCTTGTGATGTTCAATTTAGGAACTAGCATGGGATTAAATAAATATGCTAGGACTGTCTAAAAGGCCGAGTGAGAAATAGGCAATCTCAATTTCAAAGGTGGACATCATTTGGTTGTCCGAGTTCTTCACGAAGCTTTGATTTTTTTGTGTCATGTTCTGTCATATTTTAAATGATTATTTCATTTCTCATGTGCCCAATTTTTTTTACAGAGTGCAATTAAGGGAAAATTGCAAGAATTGGGAGCTTATGTTGGTAAGTTTTGTTATATTTGTAAGTTGTAAATTTGATAGTTTATTGATTTATATTATACAATTAGAGATGCCATAGAATCATAGAATTTCAAAGGCCGACCCCTTCCAAAAGGAGTCCTCCCCACTATATCCTGGACAAACTATGCAACTTCAGCTTGAAGATCTCCCATGGGGGAAGAGAGAGCTATACTACCTTCTGACAGGCCATTCCACTTTTAGACAGTTCTTATTGTTGGGAAGATTTTCCTTACATTGAGTAGAATCTTGCCCTTGTCATTTAGACACATTGTTCTTAGTTCTGCCTTCTGGGACTAAGATGAGCAAGTCTAATCTCTCTTCTGTAAGATACCCCTTCAGTTACTTGAAAGCAGCTGTCAGAACTCCCTTTTTGATAAGTTTGTTCTTTAGACTGAATCTCTACTTCCACCAGTCAGTACTTTTAAAGCATGACATTGAGGCCCTTTAGGTTGGCTGCTTTTCTCTGAATTTTGTTGAACTTTAGGTCCTTCTTAAAATGGACCCAGAATTGAACAGAATTCCAAATGTAGTCTGACCAGTGTAAAATACTATCACTTTTGATTCCTCTGTATCACAATTACTTAAAATCTCATTGACTTTTTTGGTTGCTAAATTATATATTCATATTGAGTGTTAAATCAGAGAGGTCTTCTTGATCTTTTCCTTTTTTATTTTGAACTGTTGTTTAGCTGTACCTCTCCCATACTAGTAAAGGAGATGTCTTAAACTGAAGTGTAAAACAACATTTGTCTATCTTAAATTTAATCTTACTAGATTTGGCCAAATTTGCTAGGCTTTAAAAATCATAATGACATTCTTTCCAGCTTTTTGTTACTTGAAAATTTAGTAAATGTACAATTGAGGCATTTAATCAAGTCGCTGAAGAAAATACTAAGGTTTTAGAGTAGGGGATCAAAAACCTTTTTTGTGTCATCTACCCCTTTGTTAGTTTAAAACCTGTGAACTGCTTATCAGAATAAAGTTTTTAAATTCCTAAAATAAATGAGATTACAGAGGAAACTTAGTCGAATTGAAATAAAGATGTAATTTTTTTTTTCCATCCAAGTTCATCGACACCCTGAAATATACCCTTGTATCCCAGGTTAAGAACTCCCTCCCCTCCATTTTTTCTTGTTTTTAAAACTTTACTGGAACTCTTTGTATATGAGTCTTCTTCATTTGGACATTCTTATCCTATTTATGAGTTCTTCATTTGGGGAGTTGTATTAAGATTTTACCATATTTTCCCTATCCTGTCACCTTTACTTATTTGTCTATTCTAGGTTCTTATTTCCTCACTTGGGTATCTCATTTTTAGAGCTGTTTTGTTACATGGTTTTTGTTTTTTTTTTTTTAACATTTTCATCTCTTTCCATACCTAATAACGGATGCTTGTACCTTTGTTTTTAGGCTTCCGTTTTGTCTACCATCCTTTTGATTTGATAATGCATCTTCATAGGTTTTTGAAATTATTTATTGTATGTGTTGTGTTGTCTCTTGGCTGCTCTTTTCATCCAGTTAAAGATTATTCCAAGTAATTCACTTTTTCCTACTCCTGGTCCTGTCTCCTTGCATAATATTAATTTTATCTTTTTCTTCTCTGGTTTAGATAAAATGAAAAATAATTACTAGGATTCCAAAGAAATCCATACAATTAAAATGCACTACCTTACAAGCTTCATGTATTCGAAGATGTTATGCTGTGACTTGGTATTCCTTGATTAATAGAAGTTGTACAAATAAAATCCTTTATTTGGAGTTTGAAGGTTCCTCAGTGGCCATCTAGTTTCTGAAAATGTTCATTAATCCTGTGTAGTTGTCAAAGCACTTTAGTATACTTTATTTTGTTTGAACCTTACAGCAACCTTATGAGGTAGACAGAGCAAGTATTACCTTAATTTTATACATGAGGAAAATAATGCTCAAAGAGGTTTAAGTAAAATGCTAGTCACTGGCAGATTTGGGACTAGAATTTCCGGTATTCACCATTGTCCACCTCATAATTTTCATTTGCCTTGTTTATAGAATTGCATAGCAGATGTATACATAGAAGAAAATGCAAAAAGCTTTCTAGGCATATGAAAACTTAGTTATTCAGCATATATTTATTAGGTACCTACTCTGGGCAGAGCATAAAAGAGAATCCCATGAAGCCTTTGTTGATGCCCCAACTGCTAATGCCTTCCCTCCCAAATTACTTTGTATTTATGTATCATCTATTTGTATTTATTCTCTTTGCATTCTGTAAAGTCTTACATAAATACTTATCTTTCCCATTAGAATGTAAACTCCTTGAGAAGAGGAATTTTTTCATTCATTTATTTGTATTCCCAGTGTCTTGAACTACTCCTGGCACAAAGGAGGTGCTTAATAAATGCTTATTAGTTGTTTAAAATTTTGGTTGTCTCAAGCACCTCATTTTCTAAGAGGAAAGATAAGATGCCCACAGATTTGTGTGTTATTCAGTTGTTTTGTAGGCAAATAAAGATGTCTTGAAATTAGTGTTCTTTAAGAAGGATGGCTATTACTTTACTTGGTGAGGATATAACTAAAGAAATTTAATATTGTCTTATAGTATACGTTCAGCACATTCTTGGATTGGAGAAATTTTTATTAGTCAGTATTTTTATGATCCCCCCCCCCCAGTGAATGGCCTTGAACAAAGCAAAAGCCATCAGTCTTGCATAACAATACGGTGTTGACATTTCCATTTTGCCTGTTAATTTTAAAGTTTTTGTATTACATGGTTGTAAAAGTGTTTGGTGTGGGCTTTTTCCTTTTCTTTCTTTTTTTCCCCCTGTAGTAGGCTTTATTTTTTCCTGACTTACAGGAGAAAAATTAGCATGACTGGTTCAGTTGGTTGTAGTTCAGGTACTTGAGAATCAGGTTTTTGTGTGTTTTCTTATTTCATGGAAGGATAGTTCATCAATTTTTTACAGTTCTACTTTTGGCTGGGTTTTGAAAACTCACAGAAGAAAAAAATAAGGAAAATATTTTTGTACAGATAAGTTTCTCTTCCCTTCCCTGTCCCTTCCTTGTGCCCAGTAACCTTCAATGAGGATATAGTCATAGGAATTCAGATCTGGACAAGGCCTTAGAAATCTAGTATCCTTCATTTTATAGATGAGAAAACTGAATATCAGAGAAGTTAAATGATTTCCCCAAGGTTTCATTGTCGTAGAATCAGAATTTGAATTAAGGTTTTCTGTATAAAAACAGTGCACTTTCCATAGCACCTTGCTACCTGTCTAGCAGTGGGATATCCAGGTCAAATGGTACACGGAATTTTTTTTTTGTAGCTCACTATTACTATTACACATTGATTTCCAAAATGATTTAACCAGTTCACAGTTCTATTAGCAGTGTATTAGGGTAACTTTTTACCGTAGTCACACCATTATTAAGTTTTGTCATTTTTTTGAGTTTGTTTTTGGTGTGAGATTTAAATTTAATTTGGAAGTTCATTGTGTATTGTATGTGACCTGAGTTTTGTAGCCTTTAATATTGTTTTCATTTATGTTGTAATTATTTTGTATAGTATTCCTTTGGTGCTTTCCTTTCTTTGACTCAGTTCCTACAACTCCTTTTTTATGTTTGCATTCTTATTTGGCATGCCCTATGGTACAATAATAATCCCTTTACGTTTATTAATTATAATCTGTCTAGCCATCCTGTAGTCATTGTGCACATAGTTTATTTCCAACTTTTTTTCATTCCAGTAATGCTGCTAGGAATTTTTTGACACATCTAGTATTTTCTGTCATTGGCCTCCTGGGTTATATCTAAGTACTGAGATCACTGTGCCAAAGCATGTGAAAAATTTAGTAACTTTTCTCACATGATTCCAAATGTTTTCCTTAATAGTTGGACCAGTTCATAGCTCCTTGTGCTTTTCTGTATATATCCCTTCAACATTGAATTTTTCTATCTTTTGACATTTTAGACAGTTTGATGGGTATAAATTGATATCACAGAGTTATTTTGATTTGCATTTCTTTGATTTTTTAAAATCTTGAAGTTTTTCTAATGATAATTTGTTTTTCTTCTTTTGGGAACTGTTCATATTCTTTGACCACCTATCTACTAATGAGTTCCCCTTGTAGATTTGTACCATTTCTGTACAGATATAAGATGTCAGATTTATAGATTTGGGTCAAATTTCTATAGATTTCAGATGGTAGACTTTTATCAGAGATATTTGGAGCTATATAATCTCCTTTATTCCATGTCTGGTTAGAAATTCTAAAGTTGTGAAAGATTTTCATGATATAGATAATTTTTTACATCTAAGTTGTTTACCCATTTGGAATTTATTGTATTTAAAGGTGTAAAATGTTTGTCAAAACTTATTTTCTACCAAGCTGTTTTCCTATTTTCCCAGCAGTTGAATAAAGCCCTCTTCCAGTAATTTGGGGAATTGCAGCATGGTTTACTATAAAAAGTCACTAGAGAACATTCAGCCACTTATTACTTGCATGACCTTGGACAGATAACTTAACTGACCCTTGATTTTTTTTATATCTAAAATATTAGCATAGGTACTAGATAATAAAACTATGTAGTTTTAAGTCAGTAATCCTGGATGTTGAATTTGTTGATTTCTGTAGATTGTTATGTGCATTTGCTCTTCAGTCTTGCTTATATGATCTGTTCCACTAAGGTAGTCTTTTTATTGTCTTTTATATTCTTAAATTTGGGCTTTTCATTCAATTTTTAATTATCTGTTATATCAAGTGAAAAGTATCAAAACAAGCTAGAAAAATGTTAGTCTTAGCTTAATAATTCCCCCAATAAAACTTATTAAAGCTGTCAGGTATTTGATACTAGGCACTGGAGATTCAAAGACAAACAAAACAGTGCATGCCCTCAAAGACTCCAATTCTACTGGGATGATACAGTATGTATATAGGAATATGTGATTTTCTCAGTTTAGGGAGGTCTCAGTTTGGCATTTCTTCTACAAATGAACATAATTGTCTGTGATTTAATAGATAAGGCCCAAAGAGTCTGCTGAACCAGTTGGACATCAGAAGTGGGATTTGAACCTAGCTCTTTGTCAGTTACTTTATTTAATCTATTATGCCGTGTTATCTCTATATAAAGTGTATATAGATAAGTATATAAAAAACGGTTTGGTATGAGAGAGAATATTAATCACCTGGGACCTAGGAAAAGTTTTGAATAGGTGTCATCTGAACTGAGCCGAAGGTGGAAATGAGGATAGAAGGCATGGAAAACCATTGGTAGAGAGGAGATTGAGCATTGAGTTTGTGGAACAACTAGTAGTCCAATTTGGTTGAAATGTAGACTTGAATGAAAGGGAATAGTATAAAATAAAACTTGAAAGGTTGGTTGCAGCCAGATTGTGGAAGGCTTTAAGGTTCTTGCTGAGGAGTTTGTATTTCATACTAGAGGCAATAGAAAGCCACAGAAGATTTTTGAGCTGTTTGGAGAATGGACAGCAGGGAGATCTATTAGGAGGTTGCTATTGTAATCCATTCCAGAGGTGATGAGGGGCTGAACTAGGAGCCATGTTATGGGAGAGAAGGAGGAATTTTGAAAGATATTATGAAGCTAAAATAGACAAGACTTGAGGAATGAAGGAATAGGAGAAATCAAGGATCACTCTGAGTTTGTAGACCTGAATGATTGAAAGGATGGTGCTGCCTTCAACAGAAATTGAGCATTCTGAAGAATGAATTCATGTTTAGGAGAAACATGAGTTCCATTTGAGTTTGTGATACCCACGGGATATCGAGAAGGAGAAATCTAAGCAAGTGACTGGTGAGGTGGGGGAGGAGAGAGATGAGAGCTAGCTCTGCAAGGCAATGTGGTACAGTCTAAAGGATATTGGATTTGGAGTAAGAGGAACTGTGTTTGGAATATATTTAGTAATCATATGACCTTGGGCAGTTAATCAGCAAGAGTTTATTAAGGATTTATGAAGTGCTAGGCATTGGTCTAAGCACCAGGGATACAGAGACAAAAGTGAAGTCCTTACCTTCAGGAGCTTTCCCAAAGTGCCAGTGGAGTCCATACCACAAAAAAGTTTCATAACTCCTGCAGTAAACCTAGAAAGGGGTCAAGTTGTAGAGAGACTAAAAGGCTAAACAGAGACGTTTATATTGAATACTAGAATTAATAGGGAGCCAGTGGAGTTGGAGGGGGCAGGAATAGCGGTTAACATGACCAGACCTTCCCTTTAGGAAAACCAGTTCGGTGGTCTTGTGGAGGATAGCTTGGAGTGGGTAGAGGCTGAAGGCTTAGGAGATCAAATAGGAAACTTAATTTTAGTGGTTCACTCTTGTAATAGGGTGGTGGCTGAATGAGTGGAAAAGAGGGGACGTATGTAAGAGATGTTGTAAAGGTAAAAAGGATCAGAGTTGGCAATTGATTAACTGTGTGGCATGAGTGAGAATGAGGAGTTGAAAATGACATCAAGACAATGATGCTCTTGATGGTAATAGCTAAGTTTGGAAGAAGGGTAATTTTGAGGAGAAAGATAGTGAGTTACCCAACTTACTAGAGAACTTCCTCTTATTTTTTTTTTTATCTAGAGCTACTGATGTACCACTTAGATTCTTCACTGTTATCTCCCATTCTTACTACGTGATTGACCCATCTCCTTTGCCTGTCATCCATATCCTGAAGGACATCTTTTACACTATTGTTAGATACATTTCACATGCTGGATTAAATATTTAACATTCACCATGCCCTTGATAATATCTCTTGAATTTAATAGGAATTTTATCAGTATTTTTTTTCCCTTTCCTGGCATTTCATGGAACTGAGTCAGCTTTCTTTATATATTTATTTATTTAGTTTTAGTTTTCAACATTGACTTTTTTATAATAAATTTATTTAGTTTTAGTTTTCAACATTCACTTCCATAAGACTTTGAGTTCCAAATTTTCTCCTCATCTCTCCCCTCCTCCTACTCCAAGACAGCACATAAATTGATATAGCCTCAACATATACATTCATATTAAACCTATTTTCACAGTAGTCATATGTAAAGAAGAACTAGAACAAATGGGAGAAATCACAAGAAAGAAGAAAAAAAAACCAGAGAGCAAATAATATGCTTTGATCTGCATTCAGACTGCATAGTTCTTTTTCTGGATGTGGACAGCATTTTCCATCATAAGTCTTTTGGAGTTGCTTTTGGAGTTACTTAGATCTTTGCATTGCTGAGAAGAGATAAGTCTGTCAAAGTTCGTTGTCACACAGTATGGCTGTTACTTTGTACAATGTTCTGGTTCTGCTCACTTCGGTCGGCATCAGTTCACATACGCCTTACCAGGTTTTTCTGAAGTCTTCCTGCTCATCATTTCTTATAGCACAATAGTATTCCATTACATTCATATACCACAACTTGATCAGCCATTCCCCAGCTGATGAACGTTCCCTTAATTTCTAGTCCTTTGCCAACACAAAAAGAGCTGCTATAAATATGTTTGTACATGTGGGTCCTTTTCCTATTTGTATGATTTCTTTGGGGTACAGACCTAGAAGTGGTATTGCTGGATCAAAGGGTATGCACATTGTATAGTCCTATGTGCATAGCTCTAAATTGCTCTCCAGAATGGTTGGATCAGTTCACAACTCCACCAACAATGCATTAGTGTTCCACTTTTCTCACGTCTTCTCCAGCATTTATCATTTTCCTGTTTGTCATGTTAGCCAATCTGATAGGTACCTCAGTGGTTAGGTTCCTCTGTGATGGTATCTCAGAGTTGTTTTGATTTGCATTTCTCTAATCAATAGTGATTTAGTGCATTTTTTCATATGACTATAGATAGCTTTAATTTCTTCATCTGAAAATTGCCTGTTCATATCCTTTGACTGTTTATCAATTGGGGAATGACTTGTATTCTTATGAACTTGACTCAGTTCTCTTATCTATTTTAGAAATGAGGCCTTTATCAGAGACAGTGGTTGTAAAAATTCTTTTTCAGTGTTCTGCTTACCTCTTAATCTTGGTTGCATTGGCTTTGTTTGTGCAAAAACTTTTCAATTTAATGTAATCAAAATTATCCATTTTGCATTTCATAATGTTCTTTATCTCTTGTTTGTTCATAAATTCTTCGGTCTCCATAAGTCTGACAGGTAAACTGTTCCTTGCTCTCCCAGTTTGCTTATGGTATCACCCTTTATATCTAAATCGTGTACCCATTTTTACTTTATTTTGGTATAGGGTATAAGATGTTGGTCTGTGCCTAGTTTCTGCCATACTATTTTCCAGTTTTCCTAGCAGTTTTTGTCAGATAGTGAGTTCTTATCCCAGAAGTTGGAGTAGATTACTGTAGTCATTGACCGCTGTGTTCTGTGTACCTAACCTACCATTCTATTTCTTAGCCACTACCAAGTAGTTTTGATGATTGCTGCTTTATAATAAAATTTAAGAACTGATATAGCTAGGCCATTTTGAGTCAGCTTTCTAGTTAGATGATTGTATTCAGAATTTCTAGTAATAATTATATTCCATATCTATTAGGCCAGTAATAGGAACACTTATGGAAGAAAGAAAGAAAAATAAAACTTTTTTTGTCCAGGATGTTTTTGGTTAAAAAAATGTTATCATGTACTCTTTCAAGAGCTATATGTTTTTTAATAATTAACTTAAGAACCTCAGGTATGTAACTGTTTTTCTCAAATTTTCTATTATAATGAGCTATTTTATTGCTGTTATTTCTCCTTTGTTTAGATGAAGAGCTTCCTGATTATATCATGGTAATGGTGGCTAACAAGAAAAGTCAAGAGCAAATGACTGAGGACCTTTCCCTTTTTCTAGGGAATAACACAGTTAGATTTACTGTATGGTACGTCTATATATGTTTACAGAACAAACTATTTCGATGTCTTTTTTTTTTTACGTATAAGGTATAAAGCTTGGGGACATTTTCTCTCATAGAGTGAGATCATTAAAATATTCCATTCGGAATCAGTATGTCATGTAATTTTCATATATCTTCCAAATAAATACCTGATAAATGTGGTAGTGTTTTCAAGCTACAAGATTCAGTGAATCTTCTTTTTGGTTTTTCTTCATTTGCAAGAGTAATGTTTTTTAATCTAATTAGACTTTAGCTTCCCTTATCTGTTTTCTTCTCTCTTTCTTCCCTGCCCTCTGCAAGCTATGTAAAAGGACATACACATTGGCATATGGGAGTCAAGTCGTCATCAGTTTCCTGTAGGTTCAAGATTTAAAGATGATACAAATCATAAGGATTCAAACAGTAGTAGTTTAATGAGAATAAATGAAACTGTATCTCATTATAAAACCCTCTCCCCTATTCAGATGTTACTGTCTTCTGGTATCCTATAGTGTACGCTAGTTTTTGCACGCAGATCATTTTATTTTGATTACCTGCTAGTAGTAGCTTTTATATTTGTTGTTCTTGAGTCATTTTGGTTGTGGCCATCTCTCCATGATCCCATTTGGGGGTTTTTCTTGGCCAAGATACTGGAGTGATTTGCCATTTCCTTCTTCAGTTTATTTTACAGATGAGGAAACTGAGGCAGACAGGGTTAGATGACTTGCCCTGGGTCACACAGCTAGTAAGTGTCTAAGGCCGATTTGAAATCCCAGCTTCCTGACTCCAGGTCTAACACTCTATCCACTCACCACCTAGCTGCCCTTGCTTTTATTTTTAGAGGCCTAGGAAATGTCTAGTTAGTATTATTCCTCTCTTATTTTTAATTTATCTGCAAATTTGAGACCATCTGATATTTTGCTTTCACAGTAGAGTGGTGAAGTCAGTTCAGATTGAAGGGGATATGTAAAAAAAAGTCAAGCTGAACATAATATAGATTCGTAGTTTCATATACTATCCTTTTTCCTATTCTTTATGAAAATGTTTGTCAAGTTTATGATAAAAAATAATTTAAAAAAAGTTTAATGTGAGTAGGTGGTAAGGAAATCAAGAGAGTGAGTAGGAAGGAATTTAGCAGTGAATGATAGGAAAGTTATAAACTTCAGGGAATGGGAGAGCCAGGGAAGGATTTTCTGATAAGGAAGACCTGAACATGTTTATAAGTATCTGAGAGGAAAGTAGGTAAGGAGAGATTGATTGAAGAAATTGGAGATAATCAATGAAGCAGTTTTTGGTATCTTTTGGTAAAAAGGGATCCTTTTTGATTGGAGCTAAGTAGGGAAATCATGATTGAAAATGTGGAAAGGTTATAAAGTGTGGATTAGGGGAGGTAAAAGAGCTCGTAAGAAGGTCTTCAGTTCATTAAAGTAGCAAGTGAGTTTATCTGCTAAGTGGGAGGCAAGAACTGTGATAGAGTTTGTGGCTTGAGAAGTAGGTTTGAAAATGTCTTTGGGGGAGTGTGATGGATGTAAAAATTTTTTCTAGGTGTATTGATTTTGTGAAAGAGCTTTTAAATTTGTAGTTGAAATTTTTTCTTTGGTTATGACTTCTTTTGGGGGGGAGTATCAAAGATGAGTAGGGATTCTCATGTGACACTAAGGACCTACGTGAAGTTAGATAAAATTAAGTATTTAGTGGACCTAGTTAGCATGGTTTGATGATTTTCCCCTGGATCTAAAGCACAAAAGCAAGGCATGAAGGGTGATCCTAGGTGGAAGTTTAGTAGTATAGTCTGAAGAGCAGAAGTGGAAGATAGCAAGCACTTTATTGAACTGGTTAACAGTCAGGTCAAGATGGAAAGGGAGTAAAGTGAAGCCATAACAGGGCAGTGGACTGGGAAAACAGTACAGGATAGAGAGACTGGAGGTTGTTTTGAGGATGAAGAGGGGTGAGACATGGGGAGAAGTAGAGGTTGTGATTAGAGAATGAAATTTCACAGTTAAAGATTTTGGATTTAGACTGTACCATTACCCAAAATTGTTTCAAGTTGTATCTACTGTGTGTGCTTGATTGAGGTAGACTGGAAGAAATTAAGGAAGTTGGTCAACTTGTTTTGTTTAAAGGATCATTGGATTGAATATTGAAGGACCTAAGGATATGGTCAAGGATCATGGCATCATACATATACAGCTGGAAGATTTAGAAGTCATTTGGTCCAACCCTTAATTTTATAGATGAAGAACCTGAGGGCCAGAGAGATTCAGTAACTTGCCCAGGGTAATGTTGCAAGCAAGTGACTGAGACAGAATCTGAATTCAGATCTTCTTAACTCCATTGCCCTAACTACTATGTGACTTCATTGCTTAGGGGTTTGGGATGGAAAAGACTATTGTGGGCAAGGTACTGAACTCTTTAAGAGAGAGCTGGAGATGACAGCAATTAAGAATAGAAAGGTCATCTGAATGGACAGAACAAACTTCATAGGAGGAGAGATTGCTGTGTGATGACAGCACAGGGAAGATCTGAAAGTGAGGAGTGTGCCAACAAATAACTCTTGGCCCAGTGTTAGGGCATGTGAGGAGGGACCAGTGCTTCATTGATGAAGTTTCGTCAGGGAGAAGCCAGGTTTCACCCAGGGCTTTAGGATGGAATGGATTATGAGAGTAGGCATTCTAGGTTGAAGGAGAGTTTGTTCACTATAGATCAGACTTCTGAAGGTCTCAGTGGATGGGAAAGTCAGAACAGTAATAGCAGCTAGGATAGGGTAAGATTGATTTGATTGGGATGAGAATTCTGGGGGAGATGGGGAAGTAGAGGTTTTGTTTAGTCAGATGGCAGTTCTGAATTAAAAGCATTAGAGGGGAATGTGAATTTTATCATAGGATAGGAGAAATGTGATGTATGGAGAAACTTGTAGACTAAACAGGCCCCAAAGTTCTATTTACAACATTGGTGTAAAGGAGGCTTCTTCTGTCAGCGGTATTTCCTAGGTGGAACCCAGTAAGTTGATGGAGGGTGGGGAGAAGGAATGGGAGAATTCTGAAGTGAACCAGTCCTCAGCAGTTTCTTTTTTAGCTTTTCCCCTCTCCAGATAGAGTCTCTTTTGTTAAGAGTAGAGAATGGGAGGGCCGGTGGTTATGGCCGCCAGGAGGTTCATAAAGTGAGGGTGGTTTTAGCCAGTTCTCTTTTTGGGGTTATCTATAAACCTGTCGCATTAATTATTTTTCTTTTATAAACTTTAAAGCTATCAACATAATTAGTCAAATAAACATGTAAAACAAGAGGTAAAATCTCATTGAAAGCCCTTAGCCTTTAGTAAGATGGAACCAAATGAGTTAACAAAAAAGACAACAAGCAAAGAACCAGCTTTCTGAAGTTCCATCATCTTTGATCTTTTTCTTTTGTCCTTCCTTTTTCCTCTTTTCCACTTTCTGGTAACATTAATTTTGAACAGAATGCTCTCAGTAAAGGGTTTTACCATATTTTAATATAGCTTATAACTCAATGCCCCTCAGAACTAAGGCATGCAGAAGATTATGTAGGTGATTAAATTTAGAGGATATCTAATTATGAATATATGAAAATATGCAGTGATTTTAGTCACGTGTATTATTACTTCAGGGCTTGGTAATTCAGTGTCTGTATTCCTTATGAGACAATGAAATGAGGTAGTCATGGTCAAATGATGCTTCTTTTTCTTATGGTGAAAGCTCTAGGTATTGAAATCAGCCAAGAAAAATCTTCTAAATTTGGTTGACTTCTGCAAGGTTAGTAGAGTCAGAAGCAGAAAAGTCAGCTCTACAAAAAAATCTGTGCAATATGACAGTCAATTTTAATACTGTTTATCCATTTTAAAAGAGTGATCCTGTAATATCATCATATTTGTGATAGGAATTTAAGGGAAGAGGACAGTTGAATGAAATTAACTTGAATTTAGAAAGATTTTTCTTTTTTCTTTTAGGCTTCATGGTGTATTAGATAAACTTCGCTCTGTAACTACTGGTAAGATCTATTATAATGTCAATTTGGAATTTGCAAGATATTTTTCTTTCTCTGCTATTTTAATAGCATTTGTGCTCTTTTGAAAAGAAAAGATGACTTTTAAAACAGTGGTCTAAATGGCTATTAAAAAATACTTCCATGAATTGAAATCACAGTAAAATTATCTTCATTTCAAGTATTTTAGAATAATCTTAAGACAGACCATTTTCTTTCACAGAGCCTTCCAGTCTAAAATCTTCTGAGACCAATATCTTTGAAAGTAGTTTGCCTTCAAACAAGACCAGTTTAAGTGGAGGAGATGAAAGAAGACATGAGGACACAATGCTACCTCTTGCTGTTTCTAGCACTCGATCTGAAAAAAATGATTCCAGAGTTTCTACAAGTTCACAAGATCACAGAACCTCTACTATCAGGTAAGAATCTGATGCCCAGTACATAACACACAATAGCCACTTAACATTTACTAGCTGTGTGACCCAGGACAAGTCACTGAACCTTTCTGAACCTCAATTTCCTCATTTGTAAAATGAGGATGTTGGACTTAATAATTAACATCAAGGGCCCCTTCCAACTCCCCTTCCAACTCTTAAATCTGATCTCCTAAATATAGTATGAGTGAGTATAAAGAGATTAGTTATCTTGAATTTTAGAAAATATGGAGGCATAGCCAGTAAAAAAAGATTATAACCTACTTTTGTTAAGTGAAATAATGCAGAATTAGGATGTTCTTAGGAGAATATTATCTGTTGCCAATACATTAGTTTAAGCCAAAGTACAAAGAATAAAAAGGAAACTAAAGTACTTTTTTGGGTAGTCTGAAAAAGTGACTGCTAAACTCTTGATTTTCCATTCTTTGTTTTCATAATCATTCTTTGGAAATGTTTTAAGTTCTTAGTCATAGTTTAATCTGTTTTCTTTTTAAATAGGCAGCCTTATGATGATGGAACTGCAGCTCGACTCATGTCAACGGTGAAACCTCTCCGAGAGCTAGCCCCTTCTGAAGATGTAATTGATATTAAACCAGAACCAGATGATCTCATTGATGAAGACCTAAATTTTGTTCAGGAAAACACTCTTTTATCACGGAAAAAACCTATTGTGACAGTTACATACAGTTCTTCTCGTCCTTCTGTTGAAATCTACCGACCTCCGGGAAGTCGAAATACAGATAGCAATGCACATTTACACAGGTTGCATTTGCAGCAGCAGAACAGTATACAGACTGGCAAGCAGCTAGACGTACAGACCAGCAGGTCATTTGAAACAGTACATCTGTGTGAATCAGAAGCATTTAGTGGCTTAGCAGAGACCTATAGGCCTATCACCAAAGCAAACTCTGATAAAATAAGCAATGAGGTTTGTATAAAGGCATAAAATTTAGCTTTTTTAATACTTGTGATAGATAGGTAGGATGATAGCAATTAGGATCTGAAAAGATCTGGTCATTCTAAGAATATGGAGTAAGTCTAGTAAGATTAAATTTAATACAAATAAAAAGTCCTGCATGTGGGTCCCAGATATTAATTGTACACATTACAATTATGTAATTATAATTGGGGGAATATATATCTAGATCATGTGGAAATGGGGGCAATGTTAGTAAACTATAAATTCGTGTGAAAGCTACTATGCTCTTAAGCAGCGTCAATAGGTGTATAGTGTCCAAAATGTGGGAGATTAATGTTAGGGTCCCCATCTACTCTGTGTTGTCATACTAAATGTGGAGTGTTGTGTTGAGTTTTGGGTACCGCATTTTAAGAGGAACATTGACAAACTGAAAAGTATCCGAGGAAAAGATAGTGAGGAGCATCAAAACAATGGCGTAAGATTCAGTTGAATTGACTGGGGATGCTTCACCTGGAGAAGAGAAAACAACATTGCCCGCAAGCCTAATTATGGTCTTTAAAAATATTCAGTGTATGGGGCAGCTAGGGGGCGCAGTGTATAAAGCACTGGCCCTGGAGTCACGAGGACCTGAGTTCAAATGCGGCCTCAGACACATAATGCTTACTAGCTGTGTGACCCTGGGCAAGTCACTTAACCCCATTGCCTAGCCAAAAAAACCCCAAAAAACATATGCATACACACACTCACACTCTCTCTCTGTCTCTCTCTCTCTGTCTCTCTCTCTCTCTCTGTCTCTCTCTGTGTCTCTCTGCATTATCATATAGAAGTATTAGTTTTAACCTGATCCCACCGGGCAGAAATGTGACTGATGAATGGAGAAAGGCAAATTTAGTTTAATAAAAGGAGGCACTTCTAACAAAAAGGGATGTCCAAATATAGAATGTGGTGATTTGAGAGAGTACCTTTTTCCTGGATTTTTTTTTGTTTTTATGTGAGGCAAATTGGGTTAAGTGACTTGCCCAGAGTAACATGGTGAGTGAGTGTTATGTGTCTGAGGCCAGATTTGAGCTCAGGTCCTCCTGACTCCAGGGCCAGTGCTCTATCCACTGTACCACCTACCTGCCCCTCTGGAAATTTTTAGGTAATAACTTGACTACTTGTTAGGAATGTTGTAGAATGAGTTAATGTTTCAGGTATATATTGAGCTAGATGTTCTCTGAGGTCTCTTGTAGCTCTGCAGTTCAGTTAGGAGTTAGCGTTTTTAGTTGCTTTTGCCACAGAATATTCCATGATACTGTTAATCTGACTAGCTTTTAAATTTTTGCTTAAATATGTCTTGTAAGTAGAAATTTGCCATTATCTGAATAGAGAAGCACTCCTAAGTATTTCTGGTTGCAGGAAGAAAACTTTCGGAAGAGAAAGTTACCTGTGGTAAGTTCAGTTGTTAAAGTAAAAAAGTACAATAATGATGGAGAAGAGGAAGAGGAAGATGAAGAATATGGATTACGTATAGGAAGTGTGTCTAGCAGTGTGTCTGTCCCAGCAAAGCCTGAAAGAAGGTATGTGAATAACATGTAAACTAGTATTCATAATTTGCTCATTTGGGAAACATGTACTTTCCACTTAAATCTTAACACTAGTGTGTCATTGTGGCTTAGAGGTGACCTTGATTTTTTTTTAACTTAAATAAGTAGTTGTTGAATGGGAGAGCTGCAAGTTCTGGCAGGTCCTTCCAAGCTGGACACTTTTCAAATAGGGGTATTATGTAGGATGGTATGTCTGTCATCTTAGGACAACCCTAGCTAAATTGGGGAGATGACTCATGACTAGATTGTTTCCAGGGTGATAAGATTTTTAGGCATAACAATTCTTTCATTTTTTTGAATAATCTTTTATGTTTTTCCCCAATTAATGTAAAAATATTTTTGTAACATTTAGTTTTTAAAAATTTTGAGTTTCAAGGTATAGCAATTCTTGAAGATCATCTTCTAAGTTTTAAGTTGTTAGTTTTGATCTAGGTTGAGGAAAATACTGCTCATTCCGACTTCAAGTAACTAAAGTATAGTCTAAAATAGTATTGTAGATAAAAACAGTAACTGATATAAACAGATGATTATGAATGGATAGGTGAGGTGAGACATTGTTTATATTTCAGGTGGAATTCTATGCACATTTTGGCAAAATTTTGGGTTAAGATTATTTTGTTTTTTGAGTATCAAGTACTAAGTTGGCACTGTATATATCTTCTAAAAGTTGAAGTTAATTTATTCAAAATGTAAGACAAAACTGTAACAAAAGGAATAGCTACCTAAAAGATAGGTAACTCAGAGAATTCCTCTTCTGAGAACAAATATCTACTAAAAGTGAATTTCTTCAAACCTTACTTTTTTAGGCCTTCGCTCCCACCATCCAAACAAGCTAACAAGAACCTAATATTAAAAGCTATATCAGAAGCTCAGGAATCTGTTACAAAAACAACCAACTATTCCACAGGTAATTTAGCTATTTGCTCTGCTTATGTTGCAGTAAACTTATAGCTTGAGAGAATGTCATTGATAACTCTGGTGTGTAGCGAAAAGAAGACTTAAGTTGTGGTAAAGGGAGGTTGCATGGAGATTAAAGGCTTTTGTCACATCAAGAACCAAGAATGAGGTGAGAAGCAGGAAAATGTTTTTAAGAGGAGCATTGGTACAGCAAGATATGGTAACATTCAAGAGGTTATTTCAAATAGATGAAAGTAAGATCATCAACCATTGTTTAAATTTTTAAAGAAGGAATTTGAATTAAGAAAATATTTTAACTGAGAGAAATTAAAGTAGTTTCAGTTTCATTTAATCCAAACTATTAGTGTATGAACAAGTTTCTCCTTTCTCATCTCTTCCCTTACTTCTTCCATTAATGTAAAAAAACAAACATAAGGCAGAGAACTGAATCTGTTATATATATTTAATATGTATAAATATATAATATTCATATATATAAATAATATAAATTATATAATATATATTTTTTCCCTCTGTAATTGATGAATGATGATAGCACCAGATTTATGAGAAAAAAGACCGTAACTCATAAAAATCACCTTTTTTTCTTTAAGGGAAATTTAAGAGTAAAATTATGCTTTTTGCATAATTCTTACTGTTGAGAGAATGAATTTCCAATCCGATAGCTATAATTTTGCAGTGAACTAAAACTCAAGACATTCTGCACTATGATGGCATTGCATTCTTTGCCGTCCTGCCTCTGTAACCAATGTATTAAAATTCCAGTTACCAATTTGTTGTTGACAACTAGAATTTGGGGGGCTAGCTCTTTCATGAGACCTTTGCTCTGCTTGGCTTTCTGCTTCCCCTCCTTTTCTCTCTCTGTTTACTTTGGAAATGAATGAGTGAATGAATGAATGAAGCATTTATTACACATTTACTGTGTGCAAAGTACTGTGGTAAGCGCAGGAGATACAAATAGAAAAGTGAGCCAGTCTCCACTCTCAAGGAGCTCACATTCTAATGGGAGAGACAACACACATGGAAAGGTCCCCTGGTCCTTGGGGTGCAATGGCAAAGAGATGGTAATGCCTCTTCTTTAGTGTCATTTCCACTAATATAAAATCATATCAGTTTCTGATGTTGAAACACTTTACAGTGCCAAAGACTTCGGTGATAAGAATTTTCTGGGTCTTTAGTAGGTGTAGCCATAGCACTTGCAGGAACGGTTGGCAAAACTCCATACTTCCTGGGATGATGGCTATGGGTACTGGATTGGAAGCTTTGCTCTTCCAAAGACTCTTGGGTTCTGAATTCTGGGCTTTCGCCTCAGGGCCTGAGGATAGATGATGGTCAAGGTAGAGGTGCTGGTTTGATTTGCCTGGCTTGTGCTGCGTTCTCTCTCCCTCAGTATGTTTTGCTGCTTGTCTGTCCTATGAGTAGCAGTTGGTTGGTGGTTGGTGAGGTTGGCTGTACCCCTTTTCCTTGGATAATTCCTATGAGGACTGGACTGCAAGCAGAACTGGTGTTCTTGGGGCATTGCCACTCCGAGGACTCCTAGGAGTTCTGGGCTACTAGTGGCAGTTGATCATCAGCTGTTGCTTGTAGTGAGGAGGAAGGTAGACCTTCTCTCCACAATGAGTTTTCTCCACTTGAAGGCTGTAGGGGCTGTGCTGGAAGCAGGTCTGATGGTTTGGGCTACAGTCCTATCATTAGAATTTTTAGGTTCAGGGTCCTTGGCTGTCTCCATCAAGGTCTAAAGGGAGGTGGTGGTCAATCAGTCAAGAAGCATTTATTAAGCATTTACTATGTGCCAGGCACTGGGATATAGAGAAAGTAACAAAACAAAACAAAACTCCCTTCTTTTGGGGATCTCACAGTCTGATAGGGGAATCAACATGTAAATAACTGTATATGAACAAGATATATATAGGATAAATTGGGGATAATCAACAGAGGGCAGGTAGTGGCAGTGAGAGGAGATTCCGTGAAAGGCTTTTTATAGAAGGTAGGATTTCAGCTGGACTTGGAGGAAGCCAGGGAAACTAATAGGTAGAAAAGATAAGAGAAGAAATTCCAGGCGTGGGGAATAGCCAGTGAAAACACTTGAGAGTCAGAAGATGGTGAACTGGAGGTCAGAGTATGTGGAGGTAAGTAAAGTGAAAAAAGACAAGAAAGGGGAGGTAAGTTGTGAAGGGCTTGGAATGCCAAACAGGATTTTATATTTGATTTGAAAGTGATAAGGAGCCATTGGAATTTATTGAGTAGGGAGTGAAGGGTGTCACTGCATTTTAGGAAGATCACTTTGGCATCTGATTGGAGATTCTTCTTGAGTGGAGAGAGACTTCTGGCAGAGAGACCAAAAGTAAGCTATTGTGGTAGTGCAGGTGAGAAATGCTGAGAACTTGCATAGGAGTGGTGTCAGTGTTAGAGGACATGGGTATATAAGAGATGTTAAAAAGGTAAAATCAATTGGACTTGGCGAAAAATTGAATATGAGGAGAAAGAGTTTAATGAATAATAACCTAGATTGTAAGCCTGAGTGACTTGGAGGATAGTGTTATATCCTCATCATAAGGTGATGGAGGTGATGGTTTGACTTGCTTAGCATGTACTACCTCGTCTTTCTTCTTCAGGGTGCCTTGCTGCTTCAGCTACGCTGAAGAGAGTTAATTACTATCTGTCAGCTTTTGTTTAAAATAAAGATCCCTCCCAAGAAAAATTTAACCCTGAATATACGATTGAACATTCTGGAGCCAAATGGCTTGGATTGCCAGAGTGTTCTTTCTGCATGAGACTGGAGCAAAGATGAAAAATACCTGGAATTTCAAAATGCGTTGACCTGATTTACATTCATTCTTCCTTTCCATTTCATCACCAATATTCATAACAGTGAAGAAGGGTAGTAGTATTAAGTGTCTTGAAAATCAATGAGAAACTAGTTGTACATAAATCCATCTTTAAAGAAAGAGCTTTGACATTTTTCCTAACCCTAGACCATAGGAGTTAGGATGTGAAGTCCTCATGATATCATGAGGATTAGTCAGTGATAAGTGTAGGTGTGTGTAGATTATTGTTATATGATAGATATACATTTGGAATAGGAATAATGGTTACCTTCTCTCCATCCTGTCAGAGATGCCGTAGCCATAAATAAGGCAATGTTGAACTACTTTAGTCTTCATGAAACATTATATAATCTTAAGGTGATGTTACTGTTAGATATGATGACATTCAAAATTGAGATTTGAAATGCAGTAATACCATTTGTATATTTCTCTCTTGTGTGAAAGTCCCACAGAAACAGACGGTTCCAGTTGCTCCCCGAACTCGTACTGCTCAGGAAGAATCTCTGATAGAAGTGGTCCAGGGGCAAAGCAGGCTGCCCAGATTAAGTCCCCCAATTCAACTAGAGGAAGCAAAAGAACAGAGTGTAGAAAGAATTCAAGGTAATGGTAAAGTGATACTCAGTTTTTTATTGCACATTTCCTCAAATGAAATTACATTTGCTGTACTGTTAGAAAAATAATTAACCCAACCTTAAATTTAAAAACTTAGAAGGAGCCTATGAAGAGGTCTACAGTTTCTTATCTCAAGGAGCATCTGTATCTAATGTGTGTGAGAAACATTGTATCCTTACATTTTTAATAATAGCTAACATTTACATAGCGCTTTGAGGTTTGTAAAGCGCTTTACAAATAATATCTCATTTTATCCTCACTATAATCCTCAGAGATATGTACTGTTATTATCCCCATCTTCCAGAGAAGGAAACTGAAGCAGACAGAGGTTAAGTGAGTTGCCCAGAATCACACAGCTAGTAAGCATCTGAGGCCAGATTTGAACTTCCTAAATTCAGATCCAGCACTTAATAATGCTATCATTACTTAACGTTTTTCTGAGGAAGAATGTTGTATTCTTTTTCTGTCTTTTTATTAATGCCCCTACTGTTCTCCTGGGTTTAAAACATTTAGTCATTTTACATTGTTCTCTTTGATTTTCCCATTCATATATAGTCAGTAATTGAATCTCATCAGATATTCATTCTCAGGGTCTCAGATTAATTCCTTCATCTCCATACCTATTGCTCCCTAGCCTTCCACCTCTAGTCCAGGTCCTAATCACTATGCCATCATTGGTTTCTTGTCTCCAAATTTTCCCTTTGCTTTAAACCATTCTCTGCAACCATTAGCTACATTGATCTTCCTAAAATACTTTTGCCATGTTACTTTCCTATTCACGAACCACAGTGAGTCCACAGTTAGCACCTGTACCAATTATAAATTCCTTTGCTTACTTTTCAAGGCTCTCTGTGATTTGGGCCCACCCTAACCTATTACATCCTATTTCAAACTACTCAATTAAATCTTGCGCCCTAATTAATCTTTTCACGTTACTGGATTCCCAACACCCAGGTACTCAGTCCTTCTGCTGTTGCTCATGTTATTCAGCACTTTCCCCTACCTCTACCTTCTGATCCTTCTTTGCAGTATGGAGTGTTCTGTGTTGATCCTTTCTGCACATTGAATGCATAGCCCAAGTCTTACTTGCTTTGTGAGGGTTTCCTTGACAGTTCTGTCCCGCATTAAATTGTATTTTTTCCAAGTCCTTGGCACTTTTCTTCACAGTGTAATTTAACCCTATTTATTTATGCCAGATTTCATTAGTGTAGTAAGCTCTTGGTAAAGAACTTATACCACTGTAGATTGACACATGCTCCATAATTTAGAGTCTTAGAGAGTTGCCTAGGACATTGAGAATTAAGTGACTTACCAGTGTTGTACAGCCAGTATGTGTCAGAGGTGAGCCTTTAATTCAGGTCTCCCTGACTCTCAGAATGGCTCTTTCTCTATCTGTCATGCCATCCTGCTTCTCTCCTCATCTAGGTAGTAAGATAGGACTGTCTGAATCGTGAATTTTGCATCCATACTGTGTAGTAGAGTTAGACATAGGTGTGTTCAGCATTATGCTTATTCAACAAATGTTTTAGTTCTTGCTCTTGTGCTTACACTCTGGTAAGGGTTATGGGTACTATAAAAAGAAAGGTTCTCTTAGTCTTCAGTTGGTACTTAACTCTGTTCCATTGTTTAATAAGTCATGGTTAGGAATTTTTTTCTCAGTTGTCTAAGGTAAATTTCTTTGATTGATGTTTAACCTTTGTGTATGGGTGTATGTTTCTCTTTATCCCTCTCTCTGTCTCTATGAATAATTTGTAAGATAGTCATAGTGTCTCTGATTCTCTTTATCCTCTTCTGTAAAATCCAGCAGATATTTATTAGGGTAGTAACTTTAATTACCCACCTAAAAGGATTGTAAGGAAAGAGCTTTGTAAACTGTAAAATACTATGTATAAATGAGAGCTGTTACTATCTTTAATGACTTTTAGACCTGTGCTTTTATTTTTAGATTTTTATTTATATTTTAAATTTTATTTTATTATTTTTATTTTTAGACCTGTGAGGTAGCTCTCAAAAAGGAAACTTCCTCTACCAATACAGATTTTCACCAGCTCTGCAGTTTTTGGTGTTAGAGAGTTATCTGTGAGTTCTAACAGGTTAAATGACTTGCCCTTGAGATCATGTAGCATATGTTTGTCAGAGGTGGGCCTTGAACCCTGGTGTTCTTTCCTTCATGGCTAATTCTTCACTATGCCATTATACCTCTCCTCAGTAGTAATGACAGCAGGCTTTGCTAGTGACAAATCACCTCCTTACCACTTTTTTCTTTATACTAAATGATTCCATTTTCTAAACCCATTTAATCATTATTTTCCAAACTGTTTCATAGTTTTTCATATTTTCTCTTAAGTTCTGGAGGCTATGTCTGGGTTCTGCAGTACTAACTTTCAATAAGAAGGAATAAAATTGGGAGATCACATTTTAATAACGTTACCTTTTCAACCATAGCATTTTACCATGCTCGTAGTTGCAATATTGTATAGTAAAAGAGGCTTTCTCATCCCTTTCATATCTTTTATTTATTTTTTTATTCTGCTTAATATTTTGAGTCATTAAAACAATGGCCTGTCCAATTCCCGGTGACCACTAAACCTGTAAATTATGTTTTTAATTTGCCTTTACATTGAAAGCTGCTTTTGCTTTTGAAATGTGATTTGTAACCCTAAGAGAGTTCAGTTAAAGTCTGTTCTAAAGTTTTAATTCAATGCCTATTTTAACATGGAAGTGATCCTGGGCTCTTAAAGACTATGCCAGGGGAACACAAGTTCTGGGCAGGTCCTAGCAATCTGAAAAGGTTTCTTCTAATATAGTGTGCATGTTAAAATTATCAAAGGACCATCCTAGTTCATTTTTCAGTGTTAATCATTTGAAGATTGTCCATCAGGTGACCTTTTTTTTGTGGGGGAGGGGCAGGAAACTCCTCATAAAGGCTATATGCTAAGGTAATACGGTAAGGATTTCAATCTAAGTCTGTGGAGGGTACCTACACTGATGAAATCATAGATCTTTTTATTAGGTTTAATTGATAGGGAAAATCACTCATGAAAATCCTTACCCTATAGTGAAAGCTTTATGTAACATGGTGAGCCTATAACCCTGATGTCAGTGAACCTGGACAGGCAGTCAGTAAAGAAACAAATGGCAAAGGAAGATGATATTGCTCTTCCAGCCTCAAGACTGGACAAAGACTAGAACCCGGGGAAGATTTTAGAAGTTGTTTTTGAGTGCCCTCTAGTGGAGGCCTTTCCAGTAGCTTCGAATTCTCTTTTTGATTCGTTGTGAAGTTAGGACATTTCTAATTCTGACTAATTGCTCATGCTCTCTGTAGTTTTAAAAGTTGCAGGCTTATTTACAAACACATTGAGGGCTAAATCATATAGACTTAAATGCCTTCAGCTCTTTTTCAGGCCATTATTTTGGCAGGCGTTTATTTGGTTGCGAGTGTAAATGTAATAGATTATCATAGTGATCTTCCTAATCATGACATTCATTGCTGTTCTGTCTCCTAGCCAAAATGATCAGTGACAAACATTTTCAGATTCAAAAATACATAGATATATTACTGTTGAATTTGTTTCTGAGGCTACTATAAAATTTCACAGCCTTATTTTTTGCTGGTTTTTTGTCCCTTCTCCACCACAGTACTGTATATGTACTTGATGCTTCTGTGCTAAAATAGGTACAGGAGTCTTAAAACTAAGAAAAATGAACTTTAAAATGCAGAAGATCAGGAGATGACAAAAACAAATAGGACATTTTAGTGATATTTTGTTATAATTAATTTACATGTTTAAAAATAAATTATGACAATATATAATTATAACTGGATAATTAGAGTCCAGTTTTTTACTAGCATTCTTCTAGAAGCAGCATGAGCTCCACATCACCAACTATCCCTTTAGTCTGTGTCCTGAAAGGTTTGTTAGCTAGTTCCTTTAGTTTAGGGGTCTTTTAAATTAATTCCTAGATAACTCAGAGTTGTCTTACTTAGTACATAGATGATCCTGTAAGGTGTTTTTGAGACCTTTGAGAAATTTCAGTCCTCCTTTAGTTTCTACCAAAACCCACTATTGTGCCTACAGATGATTTAACCTGGGGAACAACTATAGCCTAAAGTAAATCTATACTGCACCTCTAGGAACTTTGTAGTTTCATGTAGGTAATAAAAGAACTCAGCAGCATAGGTAGTACTTTTATCTCTTCCATTTTGATGGTTATAGTTTTAGAAGGAAGGGGGATATTAGAAGTGAACAGCTTGACAGAATGCTGTTAGGATCCCCTTTGGACAAGGGACAGACCAAAATTATCCAGAAGAATGTATCTTGTGAGATACCCTGCTGACCTGTTCAAGATCACACCTAATTTTTATTTTAGGAGGAAGGAGAGAAAGTTGAGGATTGACAAAAACCAAATTTTATGAAAGGTGGGAGAAGAAAGAAGTAGCATAGTGGAAGTGCTGCCTGGTAGTTCTCAGCTGAAAATAAAAGCAAGTTGGTTGCTAACAGTAACTAATACTTAAACTAACATACAAGAGGTAGGTAACATAAGGTGTATATCACAAAGCAGCTGTTCAAACTTAGTGTAACTGGACTAATAACTTGAATATGGCAGTTAAAATTATATGCTATTCAAAAGCGGTTGTCTACTAAACAGTGAATGGGAGGAGGAGCAGTAGCATTGTTTGTAAAGGAGATAAAAGACCTGGAGTTCTTTTCATGGACCTCAAAGTAGAAACATGGTAGAGAGTGTTTGGGAGAGGAGAAACAGAAGTAATATTACAGGAAATACATTATACACAGAATACGGATGGTGCTACCTTTTTTAAAAAAATATCAGATGATAGGGTCATAGTTTAAAGCTGGACGGGACTTTTGAGACCATTGAATCCAACCTCCTTTTACAGATGAGGAAACTGAGGCACAAAGTTAAAAGATAATATTTGAACTAGATTTTTTCTGATTCTAAGACCAGTGCCTTATCAGCGGTGGAAT